AAAAAAAAAAAAAAAAAAAAAAAAGAAAAGAAAAGTATAAAAACTTTTTACATTTCTTTCCTTTTTTTTTTCTTCTTTTTTTTTTGCACCCTATTTTGTGTATGTATATTTGCAGGATATTTTGAGCTTAAACTCATTCGGCACATGAGGGGTGAAGCGCGGTGGCGCGAAAAATGGAAAGGAGGTGTTCTTAGCAGTGGGGCGACTTTACGCAACAGGACTATTCTCCGCTGGGCATTGCATATTATAGATATTTACATTCACATTGTCTTTTTTCCATTTGGGCTAATTTTTTTTAAAATCTTGTGCACGAAGTTTTTTTTTTTTTTCTTTATCAAGTCCAATTTGTCTATGGCACTTTCTGGAACGCGGGTCTAGCGATTTTGAAACAGGGGCTTCTGATCTGTCTGCGCCCGTCTACATGGCGGCGTTAATTCTCCAACAGGGCACACTGTTTCGCGGGGGGGAGAAATAAAAAAAAAAAAATGTAAAAACATGCGCATATGTAGGTGATTTTCATGTCGGATGTCCGAAATGGTACCGGTCGCACACAGACGGGTACGCCGCCAGCAGCTCGCAAAACGACGGTGCTTTCTTTCTCTGTGATATATATGGATTGACATTTCTAAAATTAAAAATTTAAAAAGCCACCGTATATACATTTGTTATATGAACAAATTTGAAGTTAATATATTTGGACATATTTTTAAAAACAAATATATTCACAATAATAACTCTTCGAATTGTTCAATGGTTTTTTTTTGTTTTTCATAAGGATGTAATTTGGTTTAATAAATCGGCGGCCCACACAAGTGTTGCGTTTTTATAGTGGAGTTCCCTTGGGGGGGTAAGGAATTTCTTTTTTTTTAATGTTGGTTTGTGTAAAGCAGTGGGGGGTGAATCTTCCACAGTTATGGAAGGGAAAATGTCCCCCTTCGAAGTTCCGTCCGCCGCAACCACGTGTATCCCTCATTATGGAGGGAACACAAAAAATGTAACTCCTTCTTTTGTAAGCAAAACGTGTCAGAACTTCTTAGAGGGTTGTACAATCATTTGATTGTGAAATCAACATCTTTCAACAAGGTATTCTCATCATTTGTATTTATGCAGAAGGGTTATACAGGTGGGGTAAGCGGGGGGCGGATTCGTTTGTTTTTCTCCCCCTCAAGAGGAACCTTTTTCTTAACGCTTTTTCTCTCGCTTTGTTCTCAGTTTTTCTTTACCTTACGTGTGGCATTTCCCCTTAATTTATCATCATGACATACTCTCTGCCACGTTGGTTACTCAAACGGACATTTGTTCGCAGCGCAACTTGCGCAACAAGTGGGTATACAAAAGATGCCCACAAAGAACAAACGAACAAGCCACTCGCAAATGTGGCACAAACCGTTCGTCAAAAAAGCTGTGCCATGTTTAAAAACTGTTTTAACAAAAAAAAAAAAATTACGTAAACGGAAAAAATAATTATAAACAATTCTAAATAATGTTAAACAATTAAAAAAAACAATAAAACAAAACGAAACGGAATGAAACGAAAAAAAAAAAAAAAAAAAAAAAA